TCATCATCATCAGCATCATCATCATCATCATCATCATCATCATCATCGTCATCACCATCATCGTCATCGTCATCGTCATCGTCATCGTCATCATCGACCCCTCCCTCTCCCTACACCATCGTCACCGTCATCACCGTCACCCATCATCCATCAGCATCATCATCTGCAGCATCATCCTCATCCACATCCTCCTCATCATCGTCACCGACATCGCCCCCACCGCCCATGCCGTCACACACCTCACACGTTTCGTGGCCCCACTGGGAGCCCCACCTAAGGCCACTCTGGCGGTGTTCGCATGCGCCCCCCCCACCCAGGACAGCGTTTCGTGGCCCAATAGGGGGCTCCACCGAAGGCCCCAGTGCGGGTGTTCGCATGCGCCTCCCCCGCCCAGGACAGCGTTTCGTGGAAGGCCCCAGTTGGGGTGTTCGCATGCGTCTCCCCCACGCAGGACAACGTTTCGTGGCCCCATAGGGAGCTCCACCGAAGGCCCCACTGGGGGTGTTCGCATGCGCCTCCCCCACGCAGGACAGCGCTTCGTGGCCCCATAGGAGCTCCACGGAAGGCCTCAATCGGGGTGTTCGCACGCGCCTCCCCCACCCAGGACAGCGTTTCGTGGCCCCAGAGAGAGCGCCTCCGAAAGCCCCACTGGGGGTGTTCGCATGCGTCTCCCCCACCCAGGACAACGCTTCGTGGTCCCATGGTGAGCTTCACCGGAGGCCCCATTAGGGGTGTTCGCATGCGTCTCCACCGCCCAAAACAATATTTCGCAGCCCCACGGAGCTTCACCGACGGCTTCAACCCCCCCAGGACAGCGCTTCGTGGCCCCAAAGGGAGCTCCACCGAAAGCCCTCGTGGGGGTGCTCGCATGCGTCTCCCCCGCGCAGGACTACGTTTCGTGGCCCAATAGGGGGCTCCACCGAAGGCCCCAGTGCGGGTGTTCGCATGCGCCTCCCCTGCCCAAGACAGCGCTTCGAGGCCCCATACGGAGCTTCACCGAAGGCCCCAGTGGGGGTGTTCGCATGCATCTCACCCGCCCAGGACAACGCTTCGTGGACCCATAGGGACCTCCACCGAAGGCCCCCGCGGGGGTGTTCGCATGCGTGTCCCCCACCCAGGACAGCGCAACGTGGCCCAATTGTGAGCTTCACCGAAGGCCCCAGTAGGGGTGTTCGCATGCGTTTCCCCCACCCAGGACAATACTTCGCGGCCCCAAGGAGCTCCACCGAAGGCTTCATTCGGGGTGTTCGCATGCGCCTCCCCTTCCCAGCACAGCGCTTCGTGGCCCCATAGGGAGCTCCACCGAAAGTCCCAGTGGGGGTGTTCGCATGCGTCTCCCCCGCCCAGGACAACGCTTCGTGACCCCATAGGGAGGGAGGTCCACCGAAGGGCCCACTGAGGGTGTTCGCGTGCGTCTCCCCCACCCAGGACAACGTTTTCTGGCCCCATAGGGAGCTGCACCGAAGGCCAGAAGCAAGGTGTTCGCATGCGTCTCCCCCATGCAGGACAGCGCTTCGTGGCCCCATAGGGAGCTCCACCGAAGGCCCCAGTGGGGGTGTTCGCGTGCGTCTCCCCCACGCAGGACTGCGTTTCGTGGCCCCATAGGGAGCGCCACCGAAGGCCCCAAAGGGGGTGTTCGCAAGCGTCTCCCCCACCCAGGACAGCGTTGCGTGGAAGGCACCAGTGGCGGTGTTCGCATGCGCCTCCCCCATCAAGGACAGCGTTTCGTGGCCCCATAGGGAGCTCCTCCGAAGGCCCCTGTGGGGGTGTTCGCATGCGTCTCCCCCACCCAGGACAGCGTTTCGTGGAAGGCCCCAGTGGGGGTGTTCGCATGCGTCTCCCCCACCCAGGACAACGCTTCGTGGCCCCATAGGGAGCTCCACCAAAGGCTACAGTGGGGGTGTTCGCATGCATCTCCCCCACCCAGGACAGCGTTTCGTGGCCCCACAGGGAGCTCCACCGAGTGCGTTGCTCACAAAGACAGTACTCACAACTGCATATGATTGGGCTCATTTTCTTATGCCCTTTTACGAATACGAAATCAAAATGTTGCTCCCGCTGCAGCGTGGGCCTCATTTTCAGATCGGTGCTTTGCTCCCGTCGTTGGGGATGACGCTTTCGCTTAGCGCGGGCCACCTTTCCGGATCCGAGTCCTTATTCATTGCTGTCGCCCCCCTCATTTCCCGTCGTCCTCCTTCCCCTGGTCCTCCTGCTCCTCCCGCTCCGTTCACTCCAGCTCCTGCTGCTGCTGCTCGCCCTCGTCCTACTTCTCCTCTTCCTTCCTCATCCTCCTCATGTTCTTTCTGCTCATCCTCCTGCTGATCCGCCACCTCCTCCTCCAATATACGCAATTCCCTGTTTCCGATTCCGCATTACACGATGTGGTCCTCTTTGGAGCTCCAATTCCGCTACGACGCGCGTCGGCGGATAGAAACAACGACTGCGCAATGGGACGGGATGGGTGGGAGGGGTAGGATGTAAGATATAGCGCGAGCGCGCCGAAATTGTCTTCCCCCCTGTCCCTGAGAGGGGGAAGAGGAGGAGCGGCAGCAACAGCAGGATTATCAGAATGCATGAGAAGCAGGAAGATGGGGGGGGAAGAGGAAGAGGAGGCGGAGTAGAGGGAGGGCGGGGTGGGGGAGGGGGGCGGAGGCGGGGGTGCACGAGAACCTAGAGGGAGTGACAGAGGATACGCAACGATAGCGATGAGGACGAGAGGGGGGTAAAGTGAAGAACAATACCAAGCGGGAACGAAGAACAGAGCGTCGGAAGGGGAGGAGAGGTGAGCGAACGCTGGACGAGGGGAACAAGATGATGTATACTGAGAGGCGCGGGGTCACGACGGCGCAAGAGGGCGCAAGCCGAGGTTCGCGGAAGAACGGGACGCGGAATGGACGCATGTGCCCTTCCCTACCGCCCGCATGACAGGTACCCTCCCCAGCCACTCCGACGCTGTAGAGGAACAAGACGAGGGTGATCATGAGGATGAGCATGATGAGGGGAAGGAGCGGGAGGGCAGGGAGGGTGGCCAGGGTAAGCAGTGGAGAGGAATGAGGAAGAGAAGGAGGGACGGTGGAGGATAATGAGGAGAAGCAAGTGGGAGAGCATGATGATGAGGAAGCGCCAGGGGGGCAAGAAGGAGGGGGTTGAGGGGGAGGAAAAAAGGTGGATGAGGAGCAGACGCCAGGAAGATGTGTCATATTCTAGCTGATGGGTGCCTCCTGAGGAAGACGCAGGGAAGACGCGTGCGGAACAAGATGAGGGAGGAGGGGGGAGGAGCAGGAGAGGCAATGGTAAGCGGCAATGCGGAGGCCCCTGCGCCTGTGGGAAGGAGGTCCCAAAGTACGCGCCGTCCAGCTCCTTGAACTTGCTCATGGGCGAGTACACCTGCTCGCAAAGTGGGCAGAACATCTTCACCTGCGCCACGCGTTCCTCCTCCCCCTCCATCTCCACGTCCTCCAGCTCCTCCACGGCCTCCTCCTCCTCCTCTTCTTCCTCCTCCACCCACCCCAGTCTCCCTCATCATTCCTCCCGCTCTCGTACCACACACCCGTCCCCCTCACCCTCAGCCACCCCCATCCACCAACCTTCAGCCCCGTCCTCATTAGTATTGCCCTCGCAATCGCCATCACCAATTTTTGGGACGGTCCCAACCGATTCCATCTGTCCCATCAACATCATGGTTCACATCCCCCTTCATGATATCACAATCATGCTCCGCTCGTCCCCCTATCCTTCTTCATCCTCGTCGTCCCGAAATCCTTCCTCATCCTCGCCATCAGCATCGCCATAGCCCCCACCCTTGCCACCATCATTCCTCCACTTCCCCATCATCCTCACACAGCGCATCCCTTGCCGTATCCGCATCCAACTGCAAACCTGGCTCCGACGCCACATCCCCCTCCTCCACAACACCGCACCGCCACCATCCCTGTATTAGTATACCGCTTGCTCCCGATTACTCTCCCCACACGCCCCCTCCTCCTCCGCATCAGCATGCTCCCCACCCGTTATCCTATCCCTTCTGGTCACCACCCTCCCGCAACAGTTTGGAAAAGAGCTAGCGGGGGGATGTCAGATCCAACGCGCGAGCGCCTAGCTTGTCCACACCCGCTTTCCCCCGCTTCCCACCACTCATCATCCATGTCGTCATCCTCATCTGCATCACTATCATCATAGCCATTGACCTCACCAGCATCATCATCCCCACCATCATCATGAACGCCACCACCACCACTATTATCAGCGCCATACTCATCATCACCGCTCATCCGCATCCTCATCCGCATTATCGTCATCATCATCATCCTCATCCTCACCCTCATCCTCATCATCAGTTCCCTCATCATTATCATCATCATCATCATCATCATCATCATCATCATCATCATCATCATCATCATCGTCATCATCATCATCATCATCATCATCATCATCATCATCATTTTCAGTATCGTCGTCACCGTCGTATCTTTCGTATTACCATCATCACCACCATTATTATCAGCATCACCATCATCACCATCAGCAGCATCGAAATCATCATCAGCATCATGGTCAGCATCATCATCATCATCATCATTATCATCATCAGCACCATCACCATCATCATTATCATCATCGTCGCCATCATCCTAATCCTCATCCTCATCCTCATGATCATCATCATCATCATCATCATCATCATCCTCATTATCATCATCATCATCATCATCATCAGCATCAGCATCAGCATCATCATCATCATCATCATCATCATCATCATCATCGCCATTCCCATCATCATGATCATCGCCATCGTCATCGACAACACCATCATCAGCAGCGGCATACCATCAGCACCGCCCTCGCTAACTGCATAGACGTTTCCATCCCCTCCACTACCCCACCTGCTCTTCCTCCATTCTGCTCTAAAATCATCCACCTCATCAATCATCCGCCCGGTCTTCCTCACGTTTCCCTGGCCCCGGCTCCCCATCAAACGTACCATCAAGACTTGTTTTTCTTTACGGAAGGAGCGGATGTGAGTGACGCGCGACCACTGATTCCACCACGGCGTGACCAGCAGAGTTGCGTGAAGCAGAAGATCGCTCAACACAACAATCATGCCGCACGAACCGACCTGCCGTGGGCAACTTCATGCGATGACAAATAGCCTGCGATAAATGAACGAAAAAGAAAGGGTGGGGGATGGCGGCAAGATAAGAGGAAACATTGTCAACATCATCCTCGCTACGTGCAATCGCCTCCGCGCGCTCCTACACTTTCTCTTCCTGGCCATCCAGATCATGACAAGTATAATGCGTCCCGCCCGTCTCATCCTGAACATCATCCGCTTCCCCTGCGTCCCTGGTCCTCCGCAGCTCTCCCCGCATCAGCATTACATGTTACCCTGCCTCCGGCGCATCCTCCTCGTGGGATTGCAAAGCCTCAGCGGCATCCCCCATGCCAGCATGTGTCTCGTCTCATGCCATTACTCCTCCTCCTCCTCCTCTTCCTGCCATCATACGCCTCCTCACCCTTCCCTCCCGATCGTCGCGCTCTCCGTCCCCCTTCACCTGCCCCCCCGCTCCTTCTACCAGTTATCCCCTCCGCCTCTTGCTCCAGGTGTCCCTCCTCCCTCTCCTCCTCGTCCTGCTCCTGGTCCTCCTCTCGCTTTCTCTTCCTCCTCGTCCTCCTCCTCCTCCTTCACCCCTCTTCTTCTGCTCCTGGCTCCATCCATAGCCCCTCATCGCCCTCCGCAAATACACAATATGAATACAACTCCCCTCTCTCCCCTGGTGGCGTCCGGGAAATTTTCGCCCTCCCCCCCTCCGCGTAATGGCATTTTACACAGGGAGGATTCCTGGGAGAGAGTTTTCGCTGGAGTTTTTGTTGCCAAACATCCTGTGTTGGGTCTTCGTTTTGAGACGGCGCCCCGCGTCTCCCCTCCTCCTCCCTCATGTCTCCTCCCCCTGCGTGTCTCTGACCTCCGCATGCATGCCAATTTCTGCACACCCCTCACACGGTTCGTGGCCCAATAGGGAGCCCCACCGAAGGCCAAGCGGCTGCATTTGCATGGCACCACCGCACCCATGTCGGCACACCCTCGGCCCGATTGGCTGCGTTCGCATGGCACCACCGCGCCCATTTCGGCACACCCTCACACGCTTCGTGGCCCCATGGGCCCATGGGGAGCTCCACCGAATGCCCAAGGGTTCGCGTTCGGATGGCACCACCGCGCTCATTTCGGCACGCCCCTCACACGCTTCGTGACCCCATCGGGAGCCCCACCGATGGCCCAAGTAGCTGCGTTCGCATGGCACCACCGCGCCCAATTTCGGCACACCCCTCCCACGATTCGTGACCTCATAGGGGAGCTCCACCGAATGCCAAAATGGATGCGTTTGCATGGCACCACCGCGCCCAATTTCGGCACACCTCTCACACGCTTCGTGACCTCATAGGGGAGCTCCACCGAAGGCCCAAGGGTTTGCTTTCGCATGGCACCACTGCACCCATTTCGGCACACTCCTCACATGATGTTCGGTCCTTCCAAATCGGCCCAAACCATCACAAAATGCCCCCCCCCCCGGAAAAAAAAAGCATCGGACGTGATTACACAGTCGGTGTCGATTCGTTTATTCTTGGGGCCGTAGAAGCCCCCCATTTTGGGGCGTCGCCACGCCATGCTTTGTCATGCTACGCGTTGATCTTCGACACCATGCTATGCCATGTAATGTTATGCCGTGCTGCGACATCCGATTGTGCGAATAGACAGGAGACCAACGTCAGGTGAGGACTGGGAGGGGGGCAGGGCCTCAGATATGACGCGAGCGCACCCAGCTTGTCCCAGCCCCTCTCTTACATCCACCCCGTTTCCGTCTACATTCGCCGGCGTGGGCCCCGGGCATGATGTTTTCCCTCGTTTTGAAGAGACAGCGCCCCGCCTCTCCTCTCCTCCTTCCTCCTTCCTCCTCACCCTGCATGCCTCTGACCTCCGCATGCCCATGTCGGCACACGCCTCACACGTTCCGTGTCCCCATAGGGCGCCCCACCGAAGGCCTAAGTGGCTGCGTTCGCATGACGCCACCGCGCCCATGTCGGCACACCCCTCACACGCTTCGTGGCCCCATAGGGAGCCCCACCGAAGGCCCAAGCGGCTGCGCTTGCGTGGCACCACCGCACCAATGTCGGCACACCCCTCACACGTTTCGTGGCCTCATAGGGAGCCCCACCGATGGCCCAAGTGGCTGCGTTCGCGTGGCACCACCGCACCCATGTCGGCACGCCCTTTACACGTTTCATAACCCCATCGGGAGCCCCACTGGAAGCCCAAATGGCTGCGTTCGCATGGCACCACCCACCCATTTCGGCACACCCCTCACACGCTCCGTGGCCCCATGGGGAGCCCCACCGAAGGCCCAAATGGCTGCGCTCGCACGGCACCACCGCACCCAGTTCGGCAAACCCTTGACACGCTCCGTGTCCCTATGAGGAACGCACCGAAGGCCCCAACGGCAGCGCCCGCATGGCACCACCGCGCACATTTCAGCATACTCCTCACGCGCTTCGTGACCCCATCGGGCGCCCCATCGATGGCCAAAGTGGCTGCGTTCGCATGGCACCACCGCGCCGATTTCGGCACGCCCCTGACACGGTTCGTAGCCCCGTGGGGGCCCCACCGAAGGCCCAAGTGGCTGCGTTCGCATGGCAACACTGCACCGATTTCAGCACGCCCATCGCACACGTCGTGGGCCCATCGGGGGCCCCACCGAAGGCCCAAGTGGCTGCTTTCGCATGGCACCACCGCATCCATTTCGGCACGCCCCTCGCACGTTTCGTGGCCCCATGGGGAGCCCCACCGAAGGCCCGAATGGCTGCGCTCGCGTGGCACCACCGCGCCCATATCGGCACACCCCTCACACGCTTCGTGGCCCCTATAGTGAGCCCCACCGAGGGCCCACGTGGCTGCGTTCGCATGGCACCACCGCACCGATTTCGGCGCACCCCTGACACGTTTCGTGGCCCCATGGGGAGCCCCACCGAAGGTCCAAGTGGCTGCGTTCGCATGGCACCACCGCGCCCGTTTTGACACACACCCCACACGTCTCGCGGCTTCATGTGGATCTCCAACGAATGCGGTGCACACATAGGCTGTACCCGCAACTGCCTGTGGTTGGGTTCTCCGCCAGGAAATGGCACTGTGGATGTGCAAGCTATGTGGTGCAACGTACATGGTGCAAGCCATGTAGTGCAAGATACGTGGCGCAAGCTATGTGGTGCGACCTCGGCGGGCCCTCCAAGCGCGGTGGGCGGCAACGAGGCGGCAACGACAAGCGACGCGGCGAGACCTGGACGCCCCCCCCCCAGTGGCGGCAACGAGGCCGCAGCGAGGCAGCAGCGAGCGGCGACGCGACGAAACCTCGGTGTACACCCCGAAGTGGACGGCAACGAGGCGGCAACGGGGGGCGACGCGGCAAGACCTGGACGGCCCCACCCAAGTGGACGGCAACGAGGCAGCAACTGGCGGCGACGCGGCGACACCTGGACGTCCCCCCTCCCCAAGTGAGCGGCAACGAGGCTGCAGCGAAGCGTCAAATGGCGGCGCCGCGGCGAGACCTCGACGGACCCCCCTCCCAGGTGGGCAGCAACGAGGTGGGAACGAGGAAGCGACGGGCGGCGACGCGGCGAGACCTGGACGGAGGCCACCCAGACGGCGGCAACGAGGCGATAACGAGGCGGCAACGGGCTACGACGCGGCGAGACCTCGACTGACCCCCACCCACGTGCACGGCAACGAGGCGGCAACGAGGCGGCAACGGGCGGCGACGCGGCGAGACCGTGACAGACCCGCACCCAGGTGGGCGGCAGCGATGTGGCAACGGGCGGCGGCGCGGCGAAACCTCGACGGATCCCACTCCTCATGATGAAGGGCCCTGCCTCACAGTACCTTCGGACCTGGCTAATGGTACGCTAATGACCGTCTGCCTTGGCACGAGTGATCTCTGCAGTCGCTACAACACGAAACAAAGATGAGAAACGAACCGTTCGAATATCATTCGTGGGCGCATCAGTGTTTCAAGAACCAGTAACAGGTCACTACTGGGCCGCTAGTGGGTCCGAAGTAGGTCAAAATTCATCCGTGGGCAATCAGTGGGCCAACTTCACCAGTGGGCCATTCGCAGGGCCGATCGTGGGGCCATTGGCGGGCCATTAGGGTGACGAGAAAATAGCGGAGCACTCCATTAGCAGCTGCAAGGGAAAGCCCTCCCTGGCACACCGAGTTGGCGGCAACGGGGCGTCACCGAGGCGGCAACGGGCAGCAACGCGGCGAAACCTCGCCGGACCCCTTCCGACATGGGCGGCAACGAAGCGGCAATGGCTGGCGACGATTACAAAACCTCGACGGACCCATCCCATTCTTGCGTAGTTAAGCGCTGTTTAACTTATCCCTGTCGCACCCCCCAAAGGCGTGCTAAGATCTCCGGTAACTGGTTAACAATATATTCAATCGCTTCGCTCACTCCGCTGGCCCATTTTTGGGCACCGCTGCGCCGACTGGCCGAGTGGTCGTTGGCGGTGTTGAGCTGCTGGGGCGTCGGCTGTTTTCTGAGACGTTGCTGGGGGCATGCTGCTGGGGCGATTCGTCTGGATTTCTTGGGAGTTGTCAGGGGAATCGGTCGCTTTTCGCGGGGCGGCTAGTTGTTAGTTGTGTGGTGCTTTGTTGGACTTCGGGTGCCTTCGTGGGGGTTTGCTGCGTGGATGCTCACTCTGGGGCTTGTCGATGGGGCGCAGGGGACATTTGATGCGGCGGTGTTGGAGTCTCCTGGCAGGTGTCGCGGAAGCCTTTTGGAGGCAGTTTTGAAGCTTCTTGAGGCCTCGTCAGGGCCGGTTGGGTGCCCTGGGGGCCTGATTTTGGGCCTCTCGGGGGCTTCTTGGGACTCCTGGGTGCTTCTTGGGAGCCTGCTGGCGGTCTCGGAGGGGCCCCTGGGGTCGGAAAGCTTCAAATGTCATTTCGAGCTCCCTCTTTGGGGGCGTCTTGGGCAGTCTTGGAGCCATCTTTGGCCGTCTTGGAGCCCTCTTGGGCCCTATTGGGCAAGCGGCGTGTTAAGATCTCCGGTAACTGGTTAACAATATATTCTAGTTCGCGCGCGCGGGGCGGCTTCTGGGGGCTCCCGGACGAAAAGCACTCCGAGCAGGACCCGGCCAGTGCGGCTCAAAGATGGTTTTCCTCCTCGGCGCTGCCTTCCAGGCCTCCCAGAGCGCTCCAGGAACACGGCAAGAAGGCTCCGAGACGCCCCCGAGACGGTCCAAGGGGCCCCGAGTCGCCGAAAGATTGCTCCAAGACGCCCATGCTGGTCTCCAGACGGCCCTAGACGCCGCCGAGAAGCTCCAAGACGACCACTCGGCCAGTCGACGCAGCAGTGCTCAAAAATGGGCAGGCGGAATGAGCGAAGCGATTGAATACCTTATCCCTGCCGCACCCCCCAGACGAGTCGGTAGAGCCGGTCGGGCGTTTCGCCTGAGACGTCCTCACCTGGGATTGCCCTGAAGCTTGAAACCTGCAGCAACCTCATGGATGAAGGAGGGCACTTTCAAAATGGAGCCCTCGCCGTACCGACGCGTTCAATTGCCTTAAACACGTGCAGCAGTTGTAGGAATTAGTTTAACGGATGGGGGACGGTTTCAAGATAGAGCTCTTGCCAAAAGTTCGTGACAGCTTCAAAGATACAGGGCTGCTCCGTTTTCAAAATGGGGCTCTCGCCCTAGCGTCGCGCACATTCGTCTCAAAAGGCTGCAGCATTTACAAGGGCTGTGGGTGGTGCCATTCCAAAGTGTGGCTTCTGCTTGAGACTTCTGTGTACATGAAAACCGAGAACTTGAACACATGCAACAGTTGCACAGAAAAAGGGCGGCTCCGTTTCAAAATTGGATGATCGTTTGGGACGTCTTTAAGTTCAAACGCATGGTACAGCTGCATGGACGGAGGGCGGTTCCTTGTCATAATAAAGCCAACGTTCGCTTAGGACACCCTCGGCGCTCATGACCCGAAGCGGAAACTTGTTCAACAGTTATGCAGGAGGGCGGTCATGTTTTCACAACGGGGATCTCGCTGGACACCTCGCTGAAATGCGTGATCATGCCCTTGTTCGCTCCTTATTGCTATCTGTGAAAGGCGCAGGGCAGTGAATGCCTTTTTCCCAGACGGTGCTCTCGCCTGAATGGCAGGTCCACACCGTGCTGGCCTTCCAAGGGGGCGCTTCTTGAGGTTAAACAACGGAGACTTGTAGGGACTCATGCGAAGGGAGCTTGGCATGGGAGGGGGGGCATTGCAGCATCGCTGATGCACCTTGACTCTGGTTCTCCTCCTTCTCCTCTTCCTCGTCCTCCTTCTGCCCCTTGTCCCCTCTCCTGCTTCTCCACTCCTCCGCCCCGTCGCCTGAGACACACGAACGTCCTCCGAGGTGCCGATGGGCAGGACGTGCTGCCGCTCGCAGTACACCCGCGGGCAGGTGCCGAACACGCCCTGGAGGTACTTCTCCCTCATGACCTGCGAGGGGTAAGCACGACGACGGCGGCGACGAGGGGGACACTGTGTGGGGGGTGGATGGGGAGGGGGGGGAGGAAGAGAATGAGGAGGGGAATTCATAGGCAGAGGGAGGGGGACGAGGAGGGGAATTCCAACCATGGATTCTACGAGAGCGCCTCTGGCGGCGCGAGAGACCACCGAGCCATCCCCCTAGTGAGAGCCGGGGCCAACACCAGGCACAGCACGGTCCCTTCACACTCATGCACACTCTGAACTCGCCGCGGAGGGGGAGGAGGAGGGGGAACGGGTAGGGGGGGGGTAAGAAGGAAGGGAATGAGGGGGGAGAGGGGGATGATGAGGAGGATGAGGGGGCGGCTGGGGGCAAGGGGGGGGGATGCGCGGGGGGGGGAGCAGAGGGGGGACGAAGGCAGGGCGGGATGATCACGACGAGGCGAAGGTGGGAGGGGAAGGCGGGAGGAGAATCACGCGGAGAAGGGGGGGTGAGCAGCACAGAGGAGGGAATGAGGAACAAGAGAAAGAAACGCAGGGAAAGAAGGAGGTGGAGAGACACCTGAAGGCCGCGGGGAGACACTATGAACCTCGCGTGGATGAGCCCATAGAGGACTGTGGCGTCCCTGTAAATTTCCAGGAACTCACCGTCAGCCAGGTCGTCCTCGTCTGGCGCCTCGTTGAGGGAAAATGGGAAGGAGAATGGAGGAGAAGGCGAGTGAGGAGGAGGCGGAGGACCGGAGAAGGTGGAGGAAGGAGGAGGATGGGGAGGAGAGAGCGGAGGGGCGGAGAAGGTTTAGGAAGGAGGATGGGGAGGATGATGATGAAGGGAATGTCGTCCTCGTTGGAGAGGATCATCTCGAGCGCGTGCGGGTAGTACTGGATCAGCTGGCGAAGCCCATAGAGATTGAAGTTGTCCCTGATGTACTCCTCAGCCGCAGATCGGCCGACTCCCTCGACCCCACCCGTGTTCCTTCCCTTTTCTCCCTCACCCTCCTGCTCATCCTTCTCATCGTCATCACCCTCTGCATGTATCCCTCCCCTCCTCATGCCTCCCCCCTTGCCCTCTTTCGATGATGTTATGATTCCTATGTGGAGGCAGCCCAATGCCAAGACGCGCGGGCGCGGCATTTGTATACAGGCCGCCCACATGGGGTCGGAGCAGATGCGGTCGGAGGATCGCACTGCATCGCCGATGCATCGGCGATGACTAGGCCTTCGTTGTTCTTAAAACCGCTGGGGGGCGTTCTCATTTCCGTTTTCAGCTTCTCGCGTTGCGATGACCAACGCTGAGCAAAAAAAACAAAAAAGCAACGACCCCGGCCAGGCCCAAAACGAGCGAAAAACGGCAACCCAAAATAGAAGCACACAACAACCAAACACAGAAAACAATTGAAAGAAGCGGGAAGCTGAACAAAAACAACTACAATTAAACATACTTAGAAAACGAATCACAAAGCGAACCGAAAACGGCGAGACTGTAAGCCCAAAACAGAGAAAAGACGGCCCCACAACAAATACAAAAACATCGATCTTGAAAGCGGGGGGGGGGGGGGGGAAAAAACCTCCCAACGTCAAAGCCTAGTTGAGGTCGGGGAGGAGAAAATCGGGCCCCAAATCGAACCGCGTCGCCGATGGATCGGCGATGCGTCGACGAGGTCGGAGTGGAGAAAATCGAGCCCTGGATCGAGCCGCGTCGCCGATTCATCGGCGATGCGCCGCGATCCTCCGACCCTATCTACTCGGACCCCACTTGCAGAAGAAGGGTAACCACCATAAGCATAAACCTGCAGAGCTCCGCGTGGATCTCCTGCGCGCTACGGCGGCGCCAGAGGCGCCGCCAGGGCGGGCGGAGTGCCGATCCAACAGCATTCGCGCGGAGCTTCGACATTTCGTTCGCTTACGCCGCGGCTCCTCCTTCGAATTTTGTCGGCCTGGACAGTGTTTCCTTCTTCGAACTTTGTGGCGGTGTGCTTCTGCCGCCATCCGCAGGGACTTCCGCCGCCCTCTGCCGAGGAACTGGTGTCAACGTCTCTATCCCTGGAGGCGGGGCCCTGTATCGTTTCTGGAATGCCACATTCTAGCGGCCTGGACTGCGAGGGCTACGTGGCTGTGGCGCATTGTCGCGAGCAGCCCGCCCTCCAGTCCGAGAGCGGGCTTTCGCGGCGCCGCAACAGGGCGGCCGGCGCTGCACTTGTGGGCTCCGAGGCAGGGGGTGATCCCACGTGATGGGAGTGGTACTGTCACGACCGCCGTGGAGACAGTCCGCGGGTGATGGCAGAGCATGGCCGAGGGAAGGACGCATAGAAGAACAAACAGCTGCATAAAGATGAACTTTCGGAGGTGAGCGAAGATTTCTTGGATCGGCACTGGACCTCCCCCCCCGTGGCGGCGCCGGAGGCGACTCCAGGAGAGCGCAGCACTGATACAAGAGATCCGCGCGGAGCTCCAAAAGCTTATGGTTATGCCTCTGTTGCTTCCTTCAAGAACGGCCGAGGGTAGGACGCATGGGAGGCTAAACAGTGCCATCACTTCCGCGGCACCTGGCCGAGAAGCAGGTCGCGCCGTGCTGCTGTGGCAAGCTTGGGGCTGCTGTCGGCGGCAGAGTGGTCGAGGGAGGACGCCAGGCCGCAGGAGGGGGCGGCCGGGCGGGACAGTGAGTGGGCCTGGCGCGACGACGAGGCGCGAGACGTCACGCCGTTCACCGCCGCCAGCAGCCTGCAGCCCGCAGTGCGTTCGCCAGCCCGGGGACCTCGGTTCGGCCCCCGTCGGTCCCCCCCCCCCCTCCTCCCGCGAGGGCCCTCCCCTGCCCGCCCTCCTCCTCCTCCCCGGCCCTCCCCCTCCCCTGTCTCTCCTCTCGGGCACACGCCAGCATGGATCACGGATCCGTGGATCTGGCGCGGGGGCGCTGTGTGGGATCGGGGAACACAGCCCCCGAAACATCGTTCCAATGCCGCCGGAACCGACGACGGATCGCGCCGACCCTGCACGGCGTGGGACAGAGGGGCTCGTCGCTAATCCAGTCCTCGCATGCACCTCCGCCGCTCGTCCCTCCCCCTCCCCTTCCTCCCTATCCCCCTCCTGCCCTGCACCCTGCAGGTTGAGACTGCCCCTGGTGTGCTCCTCCTCCACCTCGGCAAGAGCCTCGTGGCCCCTGATGCCGCAGAACCAGGGGATCCAGCCGCTGTCGCCTGAGAACTCCTCGTCCTCGCCGTCTGTTTTGACGGGAGGAGGAAGAAGAGGATGGGGGAGAAGCGGAAGGCGAAGGAGGAGAGGGAGGACGAGGACGAACGAGCAGGAGGGGCGGGACGGAGGCACAGGAGATGCGTCAGGAATAGCGGGGGCTGGATCAGGAGGGCGGGGACGAGAATGACGAGCAGGGGAGAATAGTGAGGAGGACACGTATGAGAATCATGATACCATCCCCTCTTCATCGTCGCCACCTGCGGCATGCTAGGCCGACGCGGGCGTACTGCTGTACCCACAAAATGTTGCCCGATGTGAACCCGAAGCCACAACATGTTTGCACTCGTAATCAGTAATGAGCTAACGAAGACATGATCGTGGCCTGACCACGATGCCGATGGCGCTGCTGGTCATGACGCCGAATATAACGACGACTAGGCTGATGCCGACGATGGCGGTGAGGACGATGACGATGCCGATTGCGATCCCAATGGTGATGGCGAACCGCGTGAGGCGCACAAGCCTCGTGCAGCGCTCCGCGCGTGGGCAAAAAAAGTATGGCGACGACGATGGGCGTTGAGCGAACGCGGGATGGTTAGGACGGGCGCCATGCAGGTCACAAAACACAGGGTTGCAACGGAGGCAGACAAATGTGGAATCAAACTCATGAACAAGCATACTACATCGTGAGCGCTGCACTAGCGTCCAGTGGACGGAGATCGCAACAAGGATCTGACGCACTAGCACTTGTCCCGGCTGACGGAAGTATGACAAGAAATCCACCAGCCCCCTGGTGGGGCCATCAGGCTGCCCGGATTAGGTTTGCTGCTCCCTGCTCCAGTTCCAGTTTCAAGCCTCCCATGCCCCAAGAGGTCCCAGGAAGTTCGCCGAGGCACCCAAGACGCTCCAAGAGGCCTCTGGGACCGCCACAAGGCCCCCAAGATGCTACAAGAGGCCTCCACTGGAGGACCCTTTCCCCTGCGTGCTGCCCACTTCCCTAATCGAGCCAAGTCATATTGGCATCATTTCTGATGGGAAGGCGGGGTTAAGTTCGCAGGCGCGCGAAGACGAATCGAACGACGAGCAAGTTAGGGCGGTACGCGCCGAAGCAAAGGGGGAAAACAGCGAAGCGAACGGCGCCCGGCACAGGGCGGAACAGGGCTCAACGCGGCCCTAATGGCGCGGGAGGCATCTCAAAATCGCATCAGAGTCACGTCAATCAAAACTGCGGTACAAGGTAACGAAGGGCATGCCCACTGAGGTGCCAATTACTGACGCAGGTACGGAGTCGGAAAGCGACCACGCGCATGGGAAAGTCAGCAACTCGAGCTCCCCAAGACGCTCTCGCCGAAGACGGTGTCCTTGAGGAGCCGGCAGCCACGACCTCCCAGCAACCATGCGGCAGCCAAAACGGCGAGAGAAAACTGGCGTTCATTAACACGCTCTCCAGGAAAGCTTGTCGAACTGGAAGTCCTTGAACCCTTACGGCCTTCACAGACAAACGGAAACGAGCAGGCAACCCCGAAGGAGCGGCGTGAACGACACCAAGAGACGGGCGTGGCCAACGCGAGGAAGACGCGCCAAGCGAACGCCGAGGAGACAAACGGCCTCCAGGTCCCCAGGCAGTAGAACGCGTAGTCGGGCAGCGACAACGCGGTGAAGAGCTGCTGTGCGAGGAGGAAGCGGCAATCGGCCAGGCTGCGGCCGCTCCGCGCCATCCAGCGAGCAGGTCGGGGGCCCCCAAGGCGGGGGCAAGCACAGCGCTGGAGAAAAGAGCCACGAGCAACGCGACTAGCCATCAGGGCGCCCCGCGCGCCGAGGCCCAGAGGCAGCTGCAGTGGTCGGCACGGCGACGCCGTGAGACAAGGTGTCCCAAAGCGACCAGCGCACATGCGGCGCCAAGAAGACGAGCACCGCGCCGCCGCAGCGGGCAACCCGTGTGGGGGCGCGGCGGACGGCCGACAGCCCAGTAGCCAGCAGCTCGCAAAGACATGCCCGTGCCGAGGTCCAGAGCAGAGGCAGCAGTCGAACCCGAGCTTCACAACGGAAACCTTGCCGAACAACGCCTTCAGCGAGCGGGGGGGATCCCAACTAACCAGCAGCGCGCCTTTGCCGAACCCCATCGCCATGCACCCTTGCGGCTATCAAAACGACGAGCAGGGAGGGCGCCGCCGGCAAGTGTGTAATAGGGCTTCAGCGCGCCAGCCATCCGTAACCCAGACCTGGCAGCAGATGCAGCAGTTGATAAGACACCGCCAGCTTGGAAGGCAACCCAGCGTGCTTCGCTGGGAACAATGGCCCGCCGGCGGTCGCCGCCGATGCGCAGCGGGCACCCTGAGTGATAGCGAGGCGGGCGCCAGCGGCCCCAGCCGCCGGGAGCCCGCAGTATTAGGCGCCAGCAGGCGTGCCAGCGCGTGGCAGGACCCCGAGAGGTGCCTGTCAGCCAGTAGCCCCAAGGAGTATTCGAGAGGGGGAGGACGGCGACTGACCGTCGCAAACGCAGGATACAAAAAACGATGACAGTAGGCGCGGCAGCTGATCGCTGCAAAAGCAAGAGAGGAAGAACGAGGTGGCGGGGGCTGACCCCAGGAGCAGCTGACCGCTGCAACTGTGTGGACTGTGGACATGGCGAGCGCGGATAACCCCAGGAAACAAGGCAAGGATAATAAGCGGAGCAGCATAATCAGGCTGCTGGTGGGGTTACCGCAGAATCAGGCTGCTGGTGGGGGACCGCAGTATCAGGCTGCTGGTGGGGTTTTTGTTCGCGAGCGACACGGAGCAAGTGTGCGCCGTCAAGAAGCGAAACAACAACGCAACGATCTAACTTACGGCCTAAGAGAGAGCCGCAGCGACTGGGGCGCGCTACGCAGTCGCTCAGGCGGCGGAGACGGTGAAGTCCAGGACGTCCGCCAGGCCGAGGAGGACCAAAAAGGCCACGATGCACCTCAAAATGGTGAACGATTTGAGCGTCAGACCCAGGATGGGTCAGACAGCCGTTGTGCAGATGCTCTCCATGCGCGTACCGAAGAACCAAGCGAAAGGCAAGACGAAGGTCGCCACGAGCTGGCACACGTCGTGAACGTCGATGCGCATCGCTGCCCGTCGTCGCTCGCATGTGGGGTGGAAGCCAGCCGTCGACAGCGCAGAACCCGTGCCGAAGGGCGTCCGCTAGCCTGTGTGAACTCGACGACGGAGTGGCTGGTGGGATACGCGAAACGGCTAGATTTTGAAATTGGAGAAACGGGACATGTAAAAACACGTGGGGTTCACGTGGGGTTCGCGCCACCGAAACTATTTACCCCGGTACATTACGCAATATTCGCGTCCCCGACGCCACGGTCCCCCACAACTGACGCGAAGGTCGCATCCTCGATGCAGGCAACTTTCGTATATCAAGTGAACAATATTCGCGTCTTCGAGTCCACGAATTCCCCTAATCTCGTACAGTGCTCGCGTCCCCGAGGCCACGGCCTGTCGCAATGGAGTCAATACTAGCGTCCCCGAAGCCGCGATCTTTGAACAAAGTATGTAATATATTCGTGCCCCCGAAGCCACGGTCCCTAGTAACTTGAGCTATGTTCGCGTCCCTGAGCCAACATCCGGATCTAATTACTCAATTCTCGCGTCCTCGAGGCCATCAGCCCTGTATAGCGTATGCGAGATGTCCGCCACTGGGGCCAGAATCCTTCATAGAAACAACAAAATGTGCCACCCCGAAGCCACCACCCCTGTTAATGTACGCCATAGTGGCGTCCCAGAAGCCGCAATCCCTGGTAACTCATACAATGTTTGCGTCACCGTGGCAACGACCCCCTGTAACTTACACGATGTTCCCGTCTTCGAGAGCTCGAGGAAACCCAAACCATAGTTTCTCTTACGGTCTTTGCAGGGCTTTGGAATTCAGGCCTGTTTCGATTTCCGACCGCCGAAGAAGTCGATTGCCGTTCCATCCCAGCTCATCTCTGGCGATCGCGATTGTCAGCAATGTTGTAATGCGAACTTCCAAAAATCGATACGTTTTTTTCAAGTGTTGCTGCGAAATCCGTAACGTGCGAAATTGGCTTTCGCGTGGAGTTCCGACATTGCTTCACGACGGCGCCCCAGCATCCCAACTTAGCCCTGTCGTGCCCTATTCTAAGAGAGATGGGGCCGGCGGCAATGGGAGAAGCCCTTACAAACACTTCTGGGCACCCGGGGCAGAAGCCAGCCAGGAGGGCACGTATCGTGCCGCAGGCGTGCAGTATACATGTTTTCTAAGTTGGTCCTGCGCTCAAGCGGCAGCGCAACCTATTCACCAGGAAGAAGGGGGTAAAAGTCACAACCTTCGCGACAACACCACACCCACGTAGCCCACCCAGCACCCACAAACTGAATAACCAACGGCTCCCTGGGGAACATCTGAAACAAAGAACGGGCCAAGACCGTAGGCACTGGAACGAGGATGACAAACGATTGAAACTGGAGCCCTACGATCTCAGACAGCCCTGTCTACCTCTGAGTTTCGGCATCCTTGTTCACATACCCTCTTGAATCAGGACAGTCGTTGTTCTTGTGTGACTCCTAATCGCATTCCGTTCGGCCCACCATTACCCGACTTCCCCTGAGTATCGCAACCATCTTGCGTTTAATTCAAATTAGGAGGGGGCACCTTTACAGATGAGACAACTGTCCAGCGCAGTAACGCAATAACCCCAAGCGAACACACACTGTCGTCTGGCCATGCAGCTAAGTCGCATTGCCAACCATGACCTGCGCATCTTCGGTGATTTGGCTTCCGGACTTCGCCATATGGCTTGCGCAAATTCGGGGCCTTGCTAATACGACTGAAAACGGCTGGATCAACAACATCATAACATGCAGCTTTCGTGAAGATTCCGTCTGGGTGACTTACTGCACGCGCTGGTCTTGCCCATCGAGTAGACTGGTGACACCGAGCTGGAGCTGGAACTGAAATAATGTACTTGCGCCCTAGTGAACCGACCCCTTCTGCCCCAAGGTTCCTGGCGATTTCTGCAATTCCAGTCTCCTAAGGTCCGAAGGGCTCCCGCCTGGTAGTCAGACGATCGGGCCCCGCCCGATAGGAAGCCACCCAGTAGATCCCCACCCATCAGGGTCACAGCTGATGAGGTCCGCTCCCCAGCGTCCCCACCCTGAAGGGTTCCACGTGGTAAGACTACACCCGATGGGGTCCTCCTTGGGGTCCCACCCGATGAAGCCTCAACCCACAAGGTCCCATCTAGAACGAAATGCCAAGAAACAACCCAGTCCGCAACCAGGACAACTTGCTAGCCAGCCGCTTGCAACACCGTCTGACTATTGTCGGGAACCCCCTTGATGCCTGGAGCGGTACTTTCGTTATCAAGTGCTTCGCGAACCACCGAGGCGCCGAGCATTGCATCATTACCCATGACTGCATTGCTCCTCTCAGCGTGTGCGAAGGTACTTCGGGTGTCAGAGCGGCTGCAGGCTACGAATTATCAGACGCTGAGACCTGGAATGGCATCAACGTTGGCTCTCCTGAGTTCGTGAGCATGTGTGGGTCATCAACGTTGGTGTAACACCGCGGGGTACGTAACGAGTGTCGCAAGCACGATGGTAAACACGCGGCAAGATGATGCCCTGAATGGGTGTTGCGAATTAACCAGTCGGTACGCGGCACTTGAATACATAGTGGCGGTGGTGATGGCGGCGGTGGTGATGGTGGCGGTGGTGTTGGTGGTGGTGGTGATGATGGCAGTAACGCTGACAATGACGCATAATGATGGCGAGGAGAACCAGCAGCACAATAAGCAACACTATCATGAGCATTAGCAACAACATTGGCATCACAATCATCAGCACCAAGCGCATTCGAAACGGCAGCGGCGGCAAAGGCACTAACAACGACGACTACGAAAACGACCGTGACGACGATCCTCGTCGGATTCGTACGCCAATCCGTGCATGTGAGGTGCCTGCGGCTGTGCCTGCAGCGGGGCGCAATCTTGCCAGGCCCACCCCTACAATCTCGAGCCGCTGGTGCCTCAGGCGGAAGAGGAGGGCAGGGGCAAGAGGAGGGAAGGAGGGGAATGGGGGCCCTGCGCGGTGGGGTGGGGGGCATCCCGAGGCCCGCCGCACCCCCTTACGTAAGAGAGCAGGGCAGCGACGCATGTAGTGAAACTCTAACAGTCGGGGTTGACTGGATTGGATAAGCGAGAGGACTCAAGACCCCTCCGAGGACCACATCGCAATAGGAATGTAAAGGCCTGGACCACGAAACGTAAGACACAAAGGTACCCTTGATTGGCAGGGTCGACCTACTAATCAACCTCGGCTGTAGCCTGGGATGCTCTCACACGTACTGGCAGCGCGACATCGGGATACCTCCTCCTTCCGCTCAATAATTGCATTCTCCTTGTCCTTCCTCCTCATCGCGGTGCCCCCTCTCCTCCGAAACAACAGCAAAATCCTCATATTGCTCCGCATCTCGTTCTCCTTCTCCTCATCCCAATCCCCTTGCTCCGCCTCCTTATCCTCCTCATCCTCCTCATCATCGTCATCAACCACCTCCTCATCATGTTCCTTCTCCTCCGCTCCCCCTTCTTCTCACCCTTTCGGGTCATCCCCGTGCTCCTCCCACTCGTCCCCGTGCTCCACCTCGTGTCTTTCCTACCATTGTGCCCGTCTCCGGCCCGTCTCCTGCTGATCCCTTCCTGTGTATGATCCTTCTCCTCTGCCCCCGACCCCCCTTCATTCCCGAGTGCCTAATCGGTGGCAGAGCCTGGGACACATCAAATAGAAAGATACCGCTACTCCCTGGCCGGACCTCTCCCAGGGTGCGCTCTGACAACAATTTCAAGGCGAGTCCAGCCGTGGCCACGAGGGCCTCCCAGGAGCCCCCAGAAGGGAAAACGAGGCAAGGGCAGCGGGATTTTTACCGATCCCTCCTGGCAGACTCGGCGGCGAGGCCCATGAGAAGGACCATCACGCTTCAGCCCTCCCGAGCCCTGAGCCAGCGGCGGGCCCACGGGATGCACCCACGCCCCCTCGCAATTCCAGCCCGCACCGCCATGCCGTTTGCACCGGGTGTCGGGCACGCGCGTGCCTGTGCCGTTTGTACGCGCGGGTATTTCTTCGGCAGCGACTACGACGAGGACGACGACGACGACGACGACGACGGCGGCGGCGGCGGCGGCTATGACAACGACGATCCACGGTGACGATGGCAACGACGACAACGAGGACAAAAACGACGACGACGACGACGACGACGACGGCGACGACGACGAAGACGGCGGCGGCGGCGACGATGGATACGTGGATCTGGAGTGGGCGCCACATCTATGGATCGAGGAGCGTAACCCCCCGAACCATGACACACCATGAAACCAATGCCACCTGAATTGTTGACGGGACGCGTCGAGGTTGTACGGGAAATGGGCCTGTTGTGAACCCACGCGTCTTGATAGATGCCTGCGCTTCCCTCGACTGGAGCGCCTTTTGGTTCTCGACATTCCAGTCGCGTGTGGAAACTCTCCAGGTTCCCCGCGTGACTGTTTCAGAGGCGGGCTCGAGAGCGCAGCTGGATTCCTCAACCTCCGAAGTAGCCATCTTGAGGGACCTCTTGCGGGGCCTTGGAGGCCCTGGGGACAAGCCAAAGATGTCAACTCAGTCGATGGTCAGGGTGCGAATTGTCACTAAGTGCGAGAAGCATCCGATCTTTCTTAACACTGAGAGCGTCCAATGCGACCCAAGAGGCCCCCAATATCGAACGAAGACGGCCACCAAGCCCCCAAGATGAGCCTACGAGGTCTCCAAGACGGCGACAAGAAGGACCCCCAAAAGGGGAACCCGACCTGACACCTGGAGCTTTCCCTAACCCAAGATGATGCAAAACGATCAATCACATCCCATCCCTCCCCCCCAAAAAAAAAGTAATTGGCACCTAGGATGCCCCCAAAAAGCCTCAAAAAGGCCTCTGGTCAGCTTCAGAAGAAACAACAACACGCATCCAGGCCTCCCAACACCCGGGCACGGTGGCGGATGGCAGAAAACAGCCAGAAACATGTACATAATTCCGCGAACGGGTCGTCGGACGGGAGGGCGCATCGCAGCCTACTCCTTCTCCTCCGCAGCTTCGATACGAAACTGAAAATATTGCGAGCGAGCGCTTGTGGGCAGAAATGGCGGGGAGATGCAGGAGACCTACGATGATCCGGGGCAACAAGTGAAGCAATCGGGGGAAGAACGACGAGAGTAGGGGTGAAAACGGAGTGAGAGAGAGGGGGAGTGAGACACAAATGCGCCAACCTCTCTGTCTCTCTCTTTCTCTCTCTCTCTCTCTCTCTCTCTTTCTTTTTCTCTCTCTCTCTCTGTCTCATTATATACGTATATATTTATATATATATATATATATATATATATATACATTGTATACACTCTTTAAAAATACACACAAACACTGAGAAACCTCTAGGCGCCCCCCACAAAAGGCGCCGGCCACAGCGCAATGGCGGAACCCCGCGGCAGCGAAACTGGATAAACGGGCGGGGCGAGGGATAGAGACAACGAGATGGAGAGAGACACATGTATTTATACATGCACATACAAAGAGGGAGAGGGAGAGACAGAACAAGAGCAAGAGACAGAGCAAATGAAAACGGAGGAAAAAACGAGAGAGAGAGAGAGAGAGACAGGGAGGAAGACCGATACACAGATACACATGTGTAGGGCGCGCGCGCAGATCGGTGCCCCGGCTCCCCTTGCGAGCCTCATCATCTGTACTACGTCATTCGTAGTTAGGAAGGAATCCGATCTAAGGAATCAAACAAATATAAACCTTTGTATAAGGTATCCGGAATAAGGAACCCTTAGAAAAGAGCTGTTGGGAAGGAACTCTTAGTCGGGAAGCATTAATAAGGTTCCCTTGCTGGGGAATCGCTACCACGGAACCCTTGATACTGAATCGGTAATACAGAACCTATAACAAGGAATCCGTGTCACAAAATCCCGAACAAGGAAAATTAAGTGGCTAATCGTTAAGGTTCCCTCACAAGGGGAACTGCAATACATAATCCGTAACAAGGAATGCTTAATTCGGTATCCTTCGTAAGGAATCCTTGGTGGCTCCCTGAAGAAAGAACCCTGCATAGCGAGTCCTGACTACGGAACCGTCGCTACGAATTCCTTATAACAGAATCCTTAGTCCAAAATTATTCATCCATCAAAGGTCCTGAGTGGGAAGTCCTTCGTAAAGAACACGTAATAAGTAATGTTCAGGAACGCGCCCTTCATACGGAACTCTTACAAAGGAACCCTCACTAAGGAATCCGTATTGGGGAGACCTGACTAGGTTTTCTTACCATGGAATGCTTCCAACAGAATCCCCGAACATGAATTTTAACGACGGAAACCTTAAGAGGGAATGCTTGTAGCGAGATTATCCATAAAGAACCCGAAGTAATGGACCATTAAGAATAACCTCTCAGTGCGGGCTCCCGTTTATTGAACCCTCTGTAACGGGATCCTCGATGTGGACTCCTGGGTAAAAGGCCCTGACGAAAGAATTCTCGAATGAGGGCGCCTGAATCACGGACCCGTAGTGAAAATCCTTCGTACATAATCCGGACCAGCAAATTCTGAAGTCGGGGTCCTTGATAAGGGGGTCTGAAACACTGGTCTGGACTGGGGATCCCTGATTCAGTATTCCTCACTTGCGCTGAATGGGGGATCCTTCGCAAAGAACCGATGCATAAGGAATTGGCAGAAAGGAAACCTTTTGAACACGCAGAACTTCATAAAGGCGACCTCACTAAAGAGCTCGTTTGAAGGCGTAATCCTCCACAAGGAGCCCTGAATAAGGCCACCATTGCTCGTGAACCCTTATTACTAAGGAACCCCAAGTAGCGAACCCTAGCTAAAACAACCTTTTAAGGCGGAATGGTCGGTCAGGAATCCTTGGCAAGGGGCCTTACGTCAACGGTCCTGCGAACGAGACCATTACCAAGGTGCGATTGCCTGAAGATCCTTAGTACGGCATCCGCCACAAAGAATGTTTGATAAACCACCGTTGCAACATAACCCTTGTTAAACGGCCGTGGGCGGGGAACCCGCCATAACGAATCCTGACCAAGGAACCGTACAAACGACTCCTTCGTGGCGCCTCTTTAGTACGGATTATGTATACAAAAGTTTGTTCTTCGTTATATGTACATATACAGCGAATGAGAAATCCGCCGTGCGGAGCAATTTATAAGGCATCCTCAGCAACGGAACTTGTTCACATACCCTTTGGTAGGGAACCCTGAATACAGTCTCCTTAATGGGGAAGCGTTCCTACACAACCCATGATTGCGAAGCCTGGCTACAACACCGGGAACATACATTCGCACTAAGGAACTATCCGTAAGGAGCCTGGGGTAAAAAAGGGTCATGGGTAACGAGCCTTCAGTAAGGAGCCTTTGTTTTATGAATTCTTGCTCGCAGGGTCTTTCATATCGACTCGTGAGTAAACGGGGCCCGTACGAAAGGACCCTTGTTAAGGATGGCCCAACCACGGGTCCGTAAGAAGAAAGATTCGCAAGGGACCTGTTCGATGGAATCCTTCGTGCGGGACCTTTGGCCAAAACAAAATGTAGAATGGACACCTGGATCAGTATGCGTTAATAGCGCCCCCCGTAAGGAATCCTTGGTAAGGAAGTGTGGGTGAGGAATTCTGAATGGGAGATCCTTCGCACGGAACGCTTCATAAACGGGAATATGAAGCACGTAGCTAAAGAAGGTTCCCTTCCAGCAGTGCTGTTAGCCCAAATTTAATTTAGATACGCAACTCGTTAAAAGCGTGGTGGTGCGATTATCGGGATCATATCGCCGACTACTTAAGCACACGCACGTTTAAGTTGCCTAAGTATTGCGAATTCGTTATGACGCTCCTTGCTGGTATTGGTTGGCCGCGGCATAGAAGAATGTCTTTCGTCATCGTTAATGTTAGAAAGTTGCTTCCACAATCGCCGCCCGTGCAGTCCTCACGTCTTTGCTGTTGGGCTCCTCGCCCCAGGGTTCAAAACGAACTGCTGGCACCGGCAATAACATCAGCAGCTGGTTGAACGAAGCCAGCTAGTACCAGCTCCGGCGAAAGCGAAGACGAAGGCGAAGGCGTAGACGAAGGCGTAGACGAATGTGGGGGAAAATGGCAACACCATTCAAGATGCTTGAGCTATGGTTTGATAGTCTGTCCCTCTTCAAATAAAAGCCACCACATTTGTATCGTTCTTAACCTGGGGGGTTCTCGACCGCAATCCAACCAACAATTGTATTGCATATGAACTATATACCGATGCAGATAATGTGTTAATACATGTTTTCACTTGTTTCTACCTGAAAAAGAACTAGCCACTATTAGGCACCGGTTCAACAGGGAATCGGGCGGAACATTGCTTGGAAACACATCCATCATATAAGCAGCCGTGCGTATACAACAAAGAAATCAAAAAGTAATGACCATCACCGTACAATCAATCAGTATGAACCACCGAATGCACGTAAACATAATCAGCGCACAATCATACGATAACCAACCCTGATGCTTCAAGAACCTGTTGCATAGAACACATCTACAATCAGATCACGTAAGTGAAGCCAGCAAAACAAACGAACGTACCTTTCTAGGAATGATGATATAGCGCCTGCAACACACTTTTCCCAACGAGCTGTCTAGTTATGTGTCAATGACGCAATACGAAAACATACGCGCATGCATCACCACTTACTCAAGGTTACTGGTTGGGCAAATTTTCATGCCAAGACTGCAACATCACTGCGCTACTATTTCATGAACGGCTACCTGCGAATTGTTCCATAATGCTGATATAGCCAGCTAACCAGCGAAAAAGTACTCAGATCGAATAACAGAAAAAATCCCCGATATAACGATACGGTGAACAATAGTTCAAGATTGAACGAACACGTGATGATAATGGTGCGTATATCAGTGGCACCAGTTGGGCGATGGTACACACATAGTTACAGCAATGGTGCATAGCACATGCAGTATTATTCAAGTTTTTACGTTATGGCTCGCATCGGCACTAGTATGAGTTTTTCGGTGCATAACAAGAACAATGGTAGGCACAATAACGGTAAAACGTTGCATCTGATATGTAATCAAACAACCGGCTGAGTAGCAGCAGGGGTTCCATGGACAAATCACGAGCAAACGGCCCCCAGCGCGAAAGAAACACCGAGTGAAGTATAGGAAACACCTACTCGATAGCCAAGAATAAGCATTGAAGATGGCTGTCCTGATTCGTTACGCAGGCCTACTAAATATACAACGATAAGACCGAACCGCCCCTTTACTCAGCTAGTGGTGGGCGTAGTCATCTGTACTATATTGTAGTCCTATACAAAATTGCACTGGCGTTGGGACGAACAGAAACCAGGACGGGGGCGTACGAGCGTAGTGTAACGAACTGGTCGACTGACAAGGACGGTTTCAACAACACCCGAAAGTACATCTTCACACGTATGCCTATCCAGTTGGATTGTGCCCCCTCGTCGTATAGTCGAAGCCCGTATGATCAGAATGGCCCTCTGTACGCCGAATGGGTAAACGACATAGTGCGAGTCGAATGAGTGTCCTGCGCCTGTGACGCAGCATTAACGCTGAGTCAATGAGCTCTCGTGGAATCCACTATTTCATGAACAATCGTAAAATAAACCCTGGCATTAATCATAAGAACAGAATACCATGTGTCCTGATACTTAGTGTCTACATAGCGGCTGCCTCATGTTAGATACGGCTACCATGTCATGTTTCGTATGGGTTAGTAGAGAAAGCAATCGCATATCATCATGCTACAAACATCAAGGATACCTCATTCTTATACTGGCGAATCACCAATCCCATCCACGCACCATCGGTATATAATAATATGGCAATACTGTGTTACGACCACACGTTCTATACAATCTACATCCCTCCCGCAACTCATTAAACCAACTACTACTGGTTGGTGGTTTGGGCCTGGCCCTGTAGTAATCCTACGAGGCCAATGTGCAACGGATCTGGCTGAGCAGCGAGGCGTGCGATACCGCATCGACACGTCCTACAAAAAAATCTGCACCGAACCTGGCTCCAACTGCAAGCGCCGCGGAACACCTGGACAACACGTTCTTTAGCCAAGGCCACGTCATCATTGGCAACCCTGTCCTTTCCAATCTCTTTCTCCAATCGTTGACCTTCCGTCGCTTCGTCCGGCAGCTGCCGTTGCCTACCCTTCCGTCCACTGATCATGAGTAAACAACATACAGCCAAGAAAACAAGTAAAACGACGAAAACGAACTACAACGACGGTAAGCCCCCAAATGCGAATCGATGTAATTTGCCCTTCGCCGTCGTCTTTGACTGGCGGGGGCCCTCCGTCTGCCCCATGCGTCCTCCTCTTCCGCCTTTTCCTCCACGTGTTCCTTCTCGTCCTACGCGCTGCATTTCTTAACTTCGTCCTCCTCCGCCTCCCTCCTCCTCTTCCTCCCTCTCCTCCTCGTACTCCTCCTCCTCCCCCACCTCCTCCTCTTCCTCCCCCTCCTCCTCGAACTCCTCCTCCTCTTCCTTCCCCTTCTCCTCCTCCACCTCCTCCTCTTCCCCCCCTTTCCACATCTCCAGCCCGCCTGTTCTTGCCAGCAAGGGCGCGCGTGCAGATTTTCCACGGCGCCATCGCCGCCACGCCTGGCAGGAGCGCGTTCTCCGACGGCGAGATCGCGAAGCCGTCGGGGGCAACCCAGCGGGCCAGGCCGCCTGAGACTTCCTCGCAACTCACTCGCAGACGCGGCTCCCGCCGGATACTTCCTCCATACTAAAGCTTGAAGAGGCCAAAACTGACGACGGGCACATGATCCCGATGACCCACTCTGATTGATAACATGAGCTGCGGGCCCCATCGGGAAGGAGTTCCCGCCTGTGACTTCCTCGCAATTCACTCACAGACGAAACTCCCGCCTGAGGCTTCCTCCAAGTCAAATTTTGAAGAAGCCAAAAAAACTACAATTGTAGGACCCCGATGACCCGCTCGGATTGAAAAAATGAGCTGCGGGCCCCATAGGGAAGGGGTTCCGCCCTGAGATTTCTTACAACTCGCTCACACACGAGGTTCCCGCCGGATACTTCCTGCATTCTCAAGCTTGAAGACACCAAACCTGATGAGAGCTACAGGATCCCGATGACCAGTTCGGATTCATCACATGAAGTGCGGGCCCCATAGGAAAGAAGCTCCCGCCTGCGACTGCCTCGAAATTCACTCACAGACGAAACTCCCGCCTTGGACTCCCTTCGTACTCCCGTTTGACGACAATGATACGACCCTGGTGACCCGCTCGGATTGATAACATGAGCCGTGGTCCCCATCGGGAACGGGCTCTGGCCAGAGACTTCCTCACAACTCACTCGCGGACGAGGCTCCCGCCTGAAACGTCCTTCGTACGCAAGGTTGAAGATGTCAAAACTGATAACAATTACAGGATCCCGATGACCCACTCGGATTCATAACATGAAGCGCGGGCCCCATAGGAAAGAAACTCCCGCCGGCGACTGCCTCGAACTCCACTCACAGACGAGACTCCCGCCTTGGACATCCTCCGTACTCACGTTTTACGACAATGATACGACCCTGGTGACCCGCTCGGATTGATAACATGAGCCGTGGTCCCCATCGGGAACGGGCTCTGGCCAGAGACTTCCTCACAACTCACTCGCGGACGAGGCTCCCGCCTGAAACGACCTTCGTACGCAAGGTTGAAGATGTCAAAACTGATGACAATTTCAGGATCCCGATGACCCACTCGGATTGATAACGTGAGCTGCGTGCCCCATATGGAGAGGGGGCTCCCGCCTGAGACATCCTCGCAATTCACTCACAAACGAAGCTCCCGCCCCGCGTAATACTTCCCCCGTATTCAAGCCTCAGGGGCCCAAAAGTGACGACAGTTACAGCGTCCCGACGACCCGCTCGGATTAGTAACATGAGCTGCGTGCCCCGAAGGGCGGGGGGGTCCGCCTGAGAATTCCTCGCAGTTCAACCACAAACGAAGCACGAGTGAATGAGAGTGGCCGAGGGAGTGTAAAGAGTGTGTACGTGATGGTCATGCTGATGTGGTGGGGGTGATGATGATGGTGTGAGTGTGTGGGAGCGTGAGCGAGAAGAGAGAGAGGGTGTGTTCTTGTTCCTGCGACGGGGGGCCCAGAGAAAGCCAGAACCCCACTTTGGATGTGGGGGCTAACACAATTCAAACCAATCTAGCAAATATGCAGATAAGTGTAGTAAACTATTGGAAAGAATGAAGGCAACCAAACACAAAGCAAACTCATATTACGGTAATCAGCACAACAATCTGAACAACGCACATACAATGAAAAAAACATGGCCGAACAAGAAATATGATACAATGTGCTCCTCCGAACATGTGTATATATGTGTATATATATATATATATATATATATATTCATGTGTATATTTATATGGTGTTACGTAAAGGTGCAGGTATGCATTATAGCTGTCTAAAAAGATATCGATTGGGCATCTTCGCATGCTTGGTCTTAACAGCATCCAGGACGGCTCAAGAGGCCCCCAAGATCGCTCCAAGACGGCCCAAGACGCACCCACGAGGGCACCACAACGGGCAAATGGGGACCCAGGACGGCCCAAGAGGCGCCCAAGATGGCTCCAAGAAAACCCCAACAAAGTGGCATTCCGAGCCATCTGCCCCCAGAGGATCCCCGAGACCGCCAGCAGGAGCCCAAGAAAGGCCCAAGAGACCCGAAGAGGCCCCGGGAACCCCCAAGCCCCCAGTGGGTCCCAGAGAGGCCCCGCAGGCCTCGCCAGTGGACTGCATCCCTCTTATGGGGGTCGGCGGGATGGCGAAAGCCTCTCAAATCCATTTGTACGTAGAGAGGGGAAGGTGGCGAGAGCGAGAACGAGAGAGAGAGAGAGAGAAAGAGAGAGAGAGAGAGAGATGGAGAGAGAGAGAGAGAGAAATATCTATACATATCTTATGCATATATATATATATATATATATATATATATATATATATATGAGCGAGAGGAGAGGGGGAGAGAGGGAGGGCATACACGATATGTCCACACAGGATGTGCGTCTGCCTGTGGACAGGAGCCGCAGGAGGAGGCACAGGAGCCGCGTCTGCCTGTGGACAGGATGCGTCCACAAGGGAGGAGGAGCCGCAGGAGGAGCAGGAATAGAACCGGGCGCCCCCCACGGAGGACGGCGACGCCCCACGGCGGCGGCGCCTCCGCCTGGCGCGCCTGCAGGTCCCGCTGGTGGGCCTGCAGGGCCTGCTCGCGCTGCTTGAGCAGCTGCTGGGACCTGAAGCGCTCCTCCGGGGCCGGCGGGCCGACCACCCGGGACGACGACGAGGCGGACGTCGTCGTCCTGCTCCTCCTCACTTCCTCCTCCTGAGGGCGACGAGTTGGGGGAGAGGGAGGAGGAGGAGGGGGAGGAGGAGGAGGAGGAGGAGGAGGAGGAGGAGGAGGAGGCGGAGGAGGAGGAGGAGGAGGAGGAGAGGGGGGAGGAGGGCTCAAAAACGACGGATCCACCTCCTCCTCTTCCTCCTCTTCGGCTCCCTCCCACGTTGTCGCCACACGCGACGGCGGCTGGCTCGCCACCCTGGCAGGAAGAGGGAGGAGGCGGGCAAAGAGGCCCGTCCTTGCGTGTCGATGCGCCATCTGCCTCCGTCGGCTGCGGCGTCGACCGTGAGCTGCGCACGCAGAGCCCAGCAGCACCGTCTGGGGAGCCGACCTCCTGGGATCCCAGCGGGCGGCTGATGTGGATATCTGATCCAGGGTCTGGGCCCCCCCCCCCCCGTCATGCTGATGCCTTCGGGCGCCCTCCCTCCCCGCGCGGTCCTCACCCCCCTGTGGGCGTGGCGGGGTGGGGGTGCTTCAATGAGCGGGAGTCGTCGGCCTCCGGGAGAGGTTGTCCCCTGTCGTCGTCCTCGCCCCACCATCTCATCCTGGGATGGGGGCGATGGACCATGGGACCTATACCATCTGGGGAGGGGGCCCGTGGGCAGGGAGCCCAAGATAAAATAGGTTGGCCTCAGGGGCCCCGGCTATATCCATATGCACCGCCTGCCGAGGTCCCCGAAGATCGATCCCCTAGGCAATTGTTATGGATACGTCCCCACTTCAGACTTCAGATCACCAGGACGGCGAGCGATCAAGAAGACAAGAGCCCAGTGTGTGCGAGAAAATATCACATGGAGAGCTGGCCAACAATCATTCTATAACTGAGGCTCCCAGATGAAAGTGAAAAGGACCAAGAGATCTGAAAATGCCCCTGGGCGCGTGGCTGCAATGGGGTTCCGCGGTGCAGATTGCCGTTCTTCTCGTCGTCGCCACACGACGAACCCTCGCCCCGCCCCACCATCTACCCGCGACCCGACCCGCCAACCATCAGGCACTGGGAGCAGCGTTCGGTTCCGTCTCCTGCCTTCCATTTTCCGTGGAGACCCCGGCTTCGCGAAACCACCAGGCACGCGAGCCAGCCGCACGCGCCAGCGCGTCGCGTGTCGAGTCGCCTCGGAGCTGGTCGCGCTTCGACCATGCGGTGTGATAGAAGGATGTTGTTCATCCCCGCTCAACGACAAGGCCGCCGATGATGTGTGACAACACAGAAGGGAGAAGCAGAGCAGAGGAGGGCGCCGACAGGGGAGGATACCCAGACGTTTTGTGCGGGAACCCCATGGCCCAAGTGGCAGGTCGTCATAGCATACAACAGGCGAGAACAAACGACCCGTGCGAG